GGGCAAAAAATTTAGTGTTTACAGTTACTATACTAATTGATTTCAATTTAAATAGTTTTTTATAACCATATATAACATACATGTATAGTTATTTCATATATTATATAAATTTATTTTGTAGAGTTGAGAGACTCAATTTGAACTTGAAAATCAATCTACTTATTATTATTATTAAACATTTTGAGCTATTTGAGTCCTAATTTATAACCCAAACTTTTTTTGAAAATTTTTCGAGTTGGTTTTAAGAAATTACTAGTTGAGTCGAGTTAAATTGAGTTTTTCAATTGAGTCCTGTTGAAAAATTCAGTTTTTTTAGTCGAGTCAGTTTTGTTCACCCCTACTTTTGCTACCTCGATAATTCTAGATTGGTGTTAAGATTAATTGATTCGAAGTTCTTTGTTCCTTTCATCAGGATGTTATATATCTGAGTGAAGACTATTTGTTCAGCACCCAGAAAGATTATTTCTTGAATAATGTCTAGAAATGATTCCATTTATAAAAGTACGGTGTCCGAGTCTCTGGTTTTTCTATATGAAACTCTTTACTATTTTTCTCGTAGCACATGCTATCTCAATGGCGAAAGAACCGAACTTGTTTAAATTTAATAATCAATGAACCTTTCTATTTTTGTTTTGCTGAGTTATTTATTTAGTTCTATTGTTTGTTTTGTAACACAGCTTATTGGAAAAACACCAATGGTGTACTTGAACAATATTGTGAAAGGCTCTGTCTCAAATATTGCAGCCAAGCTTGAGATTATGGAGCCATGTTGCAGTGTGAAGGACAGGCAGCAAAATTTTTTCATAAGCATCATGTAGCTTGTATGCATTAGTTAGCAAGCTCGTTGTCTGCTAATAGTTAAAAAACATTACCTTGAGATCTAGGAGAAAATGGTTGTTATTTTTGCTGTACCCTCTGCTAAAGGTTTGATTAGGATATCTTTTAAGTGGAGTTCATTCATGCAGTCTTATTCGTACATATATGGACGGACACAAGATTTTATGCTGGGGGGAACTTATAAAATTTTACGAGGAGATGAACTTATAAGATTCTAGGGGGCTTACAAAGAAAATATCTAAAATATATGATAATTTGAAATTTTTAGGGGTGCCTCCCGCCCCGGGGTCCATCCCTGCGTACATGGGTATTTAAGTTCTTCTCAAGCAAAATTCATTCATTTATCCTTCCTTAAATTCCAGAATCTCCTGGATGAGGCTCGATGCTATCTGTTCTGTCATTAAACTTTTAATATAAGGAAGACCAGACGATTAACAGCATTTTTAAAATTGGTTTCAGGATAGGGTACAGTATGATTGCTGATGCTGAGCAAAAAGGACTTATAACAGCTGGAAAGGTAATGGGAGGTAGATGGGACTTCTATCCATGTGTGCTGTATGTTAAACAGCAAATATATAGTCACGATTTGCTTTCTCACACCGTTTTGAATACTTTGTCTTATTCGGCATTCTTGGATGGTCTCTGAAAAGGCAAGTTGGAGTTTTGTTTTAGGTGTAGGCTCTCACTGTTAGATCAATATGCTCTGCTATTTCAACAATCTTGAGTTCATCAGTTATGCCTAAAACTGTGGCTTTAAATATATACCGTGAAGCATTCAGAATTTCACGTCAAATTAGGCTGTCCTGCTGCAGAAAGAGAGGCCTACCTTTATAACATAAGGTCCGAGTGATGTGTGGCCCCATATAGGCCTGTATTTTACTATATCATCACACCAGTCACTAGGCGTATTTCTCGTTTGACTTATTTGCTCCTGCATGGACTCATGACCCAGCCTTACATCTTATTTTTTGGTTTTTCGTTATAAGTTTTTAGTGTCAAAGTCCTGTTCTATTTTCTTGCTAAAGGATTTCCTAGCTCTCTATGTTGTCCACTGATGAATAGAGCCTGTGCTCCGATCTGAGTGGAAAAATATGATATAATTCTTTTTATCTTTTCTATTTTATCATTTATATGCTTACATTTTGGAGATTGTGATTTAAATTTAAAAAGGTCCTTTCTAGATCAATCTTAGTCTCCACTACTGTTAAACTCATGTGCGATTGCTACTTTTTTTAATAAATGTGGTTACTTATGCGCTGATGCTCACCATTTACTCTTAAACATCTTTAGAGTATTCTTGTGGAACCTACAAGTGGAAACACAGGCATCGGCCTTGCATTCATCGCTGCCTCAAAAGGATATAAGCTTATCTTGACAATGCCATCATCAATGAGTTTGGAAAGAAGAGTTCTTTTGAAAGCATTTGGAGCTGAGCTTATTTTAACTGATCCGGCAAAAGGCATGAAGGGGGCTGTTCAGAAAGCTGAAGAGATTGTGAAAAGCACACCCAATGCCTACATGCTTCAACAGTTTGGTAATCCAGCAAATCCTAAAGTCTGTATTTGCAACTCCTTATTTGTACCATGCTGAGTTTTTGAGGCCTTGGTAAAAAAAAATCATATTTCTTTTTTCAGATACACTATGAGACAACTGGCCCAGAGATCTGGGAAGACACCAGAGGCAAAGTGGACATTTTTGTTGGAGGGATTGGAACTGGTGGAACTATATCTGGAGTTGGTCGGTACCTTAAAGTAAAGAATCCCAACATAAAGGTGATTATCCACTTTTAACAGACTCTGAATGGAATTTATATCACATGCCCCTTCCGAACATTATCACATTGAATTTTGGAGATTTATTTTAGAGAGTTTATGATCAAAGTAAATCAATTTTTAGTATCAACTAACACTACTGATTTTCTGTAAGGAATTCTTTTCATTTTATTTTTTTTCAAGAAGGGTCTTGCCTTATTTTCCAACCGAATAATTGATTGTTTGTTTATGACTTTGGATGTATCAGGTTATTGGTGTCGAACCTACAGAGAGCAACATACTTTCTGGTGGAAAGCCTGGTAAGAGGAGATAACCTTCTTTTTAATATAATTATCTTCATGTGTCAATTTTTAGGAATATGCATCTTATATTGACACCCCACCTTCTCCTTTTCAAATACAGGTCCTCACAAGATTCAAGGGATTGGAGCAGGGTTTATACCTGGGAATTTGGACCAAGATGTGATGGATGAAGTTATTGAGGTCTGAGTTCTGTTTTCCTTCATGGCTAAATTTTGTGATTTCTGTATATTACTTTTATGTGGCCTTACTGTCACCAAACTGGTAGTTGAGGTTTTCTTAGTATTAAGTTTCTGTATTGGCTTCGGTTCATGAAATCACGTATCCTTCTGATGGATTTGAATTGACAGATATCCAGTGATGAAGCTGTTGAAACTGCAAAGCAATTAGCCCTTCAAGAAGGCTTGATGGTAAATTCTTATTCTTCAACTTTAAAGTGACTTCAAACTTTGGACTGAAAGCTAAAATAAATGGACCTTTACCGACATTAATTTGTTATTGCCATGTTGTTAATCCTAGCAATAGGAAGTTAATACAAATGGGAAGCAGTCATTTCTCTTTATACATATGACCTTAGTAACTCAAAAGCTTGACCTAAGCTTAAACAATCGGAAGGTTCTTGGACTTGGCTCATTCAGGTAGTAAGCCATATGGTTTGTGTTTGAGGTAGACTTTCGAAACCCTTTGGAAATAAAAAATAAAAAAATGAGCAAACAGAGACGATTATATTCCGTTTGAATATCATGTTCTACATGTGCTATAACATGCCTTCATTGCTAATTTGATTCATTATACTATGTAATATCAGGTTGGCATATCCTCTGGTGCAGCAGCAGCTGCCGCCATGAAAGTTGGGAAAAGACCGGAGAATGCTGGGAAGCTGATTGCTGTAAGTATTCTTTTTGCATATACCAAGAACTTGACCTGCAGTTTTCAAGTAGGATTCTTGTATTTTTGGAAATCATAAACATCAAATAGAACGTTAAAGCTAGAAACAAGTATGAAGGTTTCATCTTTTGTTAAACTATAGGAATGACATATATCAAACAATCGTCACGGTGAATAACTGAGTGATATTAAAGAATGACATGAATTAAGATTTGCAAATTCTAAAATTAAGGAGTGGGAAGTAAGTAGAAGCTTCCAAACATAAGAATAGTGAACTTTGGATCGAAGGTTATGTAAAGTTGGCTGTGGTAGTCTGCTAGAAAATAGCTGGGACTTGGTCTTTCCTCGTAAAAGTCTCATCTGAATACGACCAACATGAAGCCAAACCCTTATGTTATAATTGTATGTCATGAACCTGCCTAATTTAGGTGTTATTCCCGATGTTAACCCTTCCCTCATCTTGTTTTGTTCACTTCTTTGGTGCACTTGTACGTTCATGCACGCCTGTATAAGGAACTAAAAGCAAAACCGACTTGTCGGTGGCTAATAGTTTTAACTGTATTCTTAATTACCTGACCGATGCTCTGTGCGTGCGTGCATGGATTATTAAGCGATTGTTTGAACAACTGCATGCTGAATCTTTTCCCATTTTTGGTAGCTATACAACTGTTTTCAAACATTTAATATGATATAACTTGCAAGTATATGAATACCTTCAGGTCGTGTTTCCAAGCTTTGGTGAGCGATACCTCTCCTCGGTACTCTTCCAATCTATTCGAGATGAATGTGAGAAAATGCAGCCTGAACCATGAAGCCTCTTTGTATTTTTCTATGAACAAAAACAATTTTTCCTCCATGGAGATGTTGGACCATTTTGGTAATGGTATGTAAACCATTGAGAAGGCATTTCCTTGAAATTCTTCAACTATGAGTTATGGCAACAATAAATTTGATTAGAATTCTGCTGCAATTTCATAAACAAAATTGTCTGATATTAAAGATCTATAAAACAGTTCCTTACTACTGAGTTTTTTTTTATTGTTCATTTTCTTAAAGTATTCGGATATTTCGATTCTTCATTTTGTTTAAATGTTCGGCAAATTTTTTAATTCGAGTTCGAGAATAACATCCTCAGATCATTCTTCACATAAAAAGAACTTCTGATAAAAGTTAAAAACATACCCATGTTATACACACATTGGTATTCATCCGAATTCAAATAAAATATGTATTGCCAAGAGCAAGGTTTATTAATAAACGCATGAAATCAAGAAGCAGTTTCTCAAATTCAAAGCAGAATCAACTGCCAAGAAGAAACTGTCACAAAAGGTCATTAGTTTAAGGGTATTGTTGGCCAGATGCCCTATAACATATAATCTCAAGCTTTGAGTTAAAAATCTGTAAGTAAAATTCTGGGCTCAAGCACTGATGTTGAAAGAAGACTTCATTCTCCTGACAAGGTGTGGCAGTGTCTTCATGTTATCCTCGATCGACTGGTTGACACACGACTCCATCTCATTGACTGCATCGGTCTTATTTTGTTGAAATTTAGCCGATTCAAACTTATCTTGGCAGACCATCAAGGGTCGGTTTAACCTTTCCTACATCCATTACAACAATTATCCATCAATGTATTATTATGGTGTAATATCTGGATGAAAGGTCAATAGAACAGAATCTAAACATGGAGAATCCTCAGATTGCCAAGGTTGTTTTCTCCAGAATAAAAGCTGAAGAATCATACACCGAGAATTCTCTAACATTGGATACAACCAATGGCTATATGGTGAAATAAATTTATCGAATGATTAACATAAAGTCCCAATTGAATATTTGAAGATACTATCATATCAACAAAGTGACTAGCAAAGCAACAGGAAAACACTTATGGATTTCAACTTTTCTAAAGAACTCATTTCCCTCTTCTTTTTTAGTTGGTTCCTGTAACAACATCCAAAATCTATGATACTAAGGTAGATATTAAGTTCCAGCTACTTTGGAATCATTAATCACATTCAATCAGGTGTGAACTACGAATCGCTTTCCACTAATAACTATTTGTCATTTTGCATCTTCTTCAGAACTTACAAACAAACCTTAAGATGTCATATGCTTCCTTTGAGCATTTTCTAATGAGCATGAAACGGCAGTAGCTTATCATAGATTTCTATCTTGACTTAACAAAAGGGGTTGGACATCAGTTCAATGATGCTTGATGTGAACATTTCTCGAACATCATTCAGAATCATGGGCAGCCTACTGGATGATTAGAGTAGAGGGACAGTGTATTGCCATTCGATCACATCCACTCCACAGATTAACTATTCTCTTTCCAGAAAATGCATGAAGTGACAGAACAAATGTAAGGGGCAATGGGTTCAAGTTGCTAACTTTAGGAAACCACCCTTCTAAAACAAAACTCCAGAGAAAGCATAAAGTACACAGACTAAGAGCAGCTCGATCTTAATACGACCATGGAAAGGAAAGGTCCCTAAATTTGTTAGGACAGAAAGAAATGGTAGGGTGGAAGTAAGAAAGTGAAACGAAAATTTTAACCATAGAAAAGTTGGAACTGTTCAATGAAGAGAACACTAAAGCCCAAGCATCTTCCTTGAAACAAAAGTTTGTAAACATGTGAAACTCACTTGAAACTGGGCCATTTCATTCTCGAAATGCTGTTGAGCGTTAACAACAGGAACACTGCAATGTTCAACACAATTGCTTACCTCGTCTTGTTTCCTTGACCTATCAAAGCATTCATATGCACACTTGAAATACGCTTGCTGCAACCACTCATCACAACAAATTTAAACAAAATAAATAAAACCAGCGCAACCAAGAAGGTTATGTCATTATACCCCCAAGAACATGCAAAATATTTAATATCTAAATAAACCAGCAAGTTCAAAGCTTTACAATCTAATAATCAATTTAGTTCCAACAATTCCTAAGCAAGAATTAAACAGAACCCATTTACCAGAAGCAACCAAATAGCCCGAAGAAATCATGGTTTCATGGAAAACATAAGGTTACGGTGACTAATATCAATTGAGAAAAATGGAAGCAAGAAAAAGGGTAAAGATTTGAGCTTGGAAACCTGAAGAGTGAAATTGATGTGGTCTTGGACAGGAGCAAGGTGTGCTTGAGCTGCTGTGTTTACTTCATTAAGTTTCCTCCTCATTCTTTCTGAAACCATTTGCTGTTCTACTGCTGCTATGTGATCCATTTCTTGTCTTCCTTTTTTCCTTCCGGCAATCTGATTCAAGAAAGGGACACAGAGAATTAGTTTTGGGGTTTATAGGGTTTTTGGTTGCTGTTGAGAGGGTTTCATTTAAGTCTCAACTTCTCTCTTGAAGAGTTCTTTGGGTCCAAAACCCCAAATTCAACACCCATTGGGCTCACTTAGCCTATCAACAGTGATGTAAAGGTCTAAGTAGGGATAGATATAAGTCAGATTTTTAACCAAATCAGTTAAAATATTTTGGGTAAATTATATCGTTCCTCTTTGAATCTTATTTTCTCTTATATTTTACTCACTGTACTTTCAATTTTTATAATTTGTTTGTAGAATTTGATTGAATCATTTTGCTCTCTTTGTTATTAATTTTGTAATAGTGTTATTATATGACACAAGCATCAAAGCGACGTCGTTTTAAAAAACTCAAATATACACCAAAATGACGTAGTTTCGAATACTCTTCTTTCCCTCCATTTTCTCTCTACTTTGCAAATAAGATGTTTGGTTGCGACCGACGATCACCACGTCAATTTTCATTCCGGTCACTGTTTACTGTCGTTGATGGTGGTCATTTGGTCTCAAAATTCATGAATCGATTCGTCTCGACCCCTGAATCCGAATCTGGTGATTATTTCACCGGAATTCCAAAAACTTGTGAATCTCGACTGAAACGTTTCATCTTCCTCACTTTATATCTCCAATTCATGAACTTTAGAGCAAGTTCTGACAAAATGGTGGTCGAATTTGGACTCAATGTGTCGATTCGAAGCGACTAATGAAATTTGAGACCGAACGACCACCATCTATGACGATCGACGGTGGCCGACAGTGACATCTAGTCACTTTCTATTTTTATTTTATAATTGGTGAGCATATTAAAGGAAGAGTAAAGTTCAACGAGCAAATTAGAAAAATTGAAAATACGGTGAGTAAAATAGTAGATAGAGTAAAGTTCAGTGAGGAACAATATAATTTACCCAAATGTTTTTTTCACCCGAAGTTTGATTCAACTCGGGTTTAGAATAACTTCATCCAATCCTAATTTCGATCTACTTTTTAAGATAAAACTTAGATCTAGACCTGATATATATATATTTCTTAGTTTTTTTTTGATAAAATAAAGATCTACGTGAAAAAAATAATATTATTACAATTATCCATGAATATATAAGATATAATTATATTATTTAACAATCAAATCGAGTTATGTTAGATAATATAATTAATAATGACATGTGGACTATGGGTTGCAGAGGATCAATGAAGAGGTGAGGGATTGGATTAATGGATCGATGGGGCCCGAGCACTAGAGTATTGTAGAGGGAGAAACGCTGTGGTTTGGTTGAGGAAGTTTTCGGATGAAGAACTGTGATTGTTCGCTTCTAGGACACGTTCTCGCTACGATCCCTGCGAACAGGATGATAATGGGTCATACGATTCAAGTCGTTGGAGTTGAAGGTCGGTTCTAACTCCTTCAAAATCACGGCGCATGAAATTGCGCATTCCTTTAAACCAAATTATTGGGTCCTGACGAAGTCGATACTCTTTAGATCTTGTTTATTCAATGGTTGTAGGTGTTGGTTTTCTTTTGTGTTATGTTTTTTTGCGTTGTTTTTTTCCTTTTTGCTGGAGGTGTAATTTAGAAACAGAGTGATTGTCGATTGGGTTTTCTAGTAGAAGATGTGGGAGTTTTAGGTTTTTCTGGTTTGTTTTAATGGAGTATTTCTCCATATGAGGATATTCCGTGTTTCCATATGTATTCGATATTATTATTAATAAACTACGATGTATTCTTTTCTTTCTTCTAATGTTCGTTAACATACTTCTTAGTATGTTGATAAATACGAATGGAATTTTTAACGATACCTCCAACTTTTATAAAAAAGATGGAGAAGGTTTTGGATTGTTGATGCCGGAGCAGGGGTCAAAAGAAGTCGAAGTGAAAGCTTAGCTGTTTCGAGTAAACTAAGCTACCGAAAGCCGTTACCTCATTAACTGCTGCACATATATTCATTGTATGAATTTGTTCGATCGATATGAAGATTCCATTAGCAATTCGGCCGCTGACCGATTCGATGGGAGCTTCATGATGTTGCTAGTGTTTAACCATCGTCTCGAAAAGCTTCCCTGCACAGCCAGACATGACATGACTCTTGTATTGGATTCTGGCAAATGAAAAATTATGGTGTTTATGTTATTTATGTTCTTCCATTTTCATGGTATAAACGCAGATCCGTGTAAGAACTGGTCTCTGCATTGGTTATGCTTCATCTCTGGTTAAGTGAGTAACCAAACCGAGTTTTACCTTCTGTCATTGAGTACTTTGTAGATAGGTGTGTAAGCAAACTTAGTTATGCAATTTTATTTTGGATCGAACTCGAACTCGATCGAGTTCTTAAACTTTCAAAGTAAAACTCGATCGAGCTTAAAAAAAGTAAACAATTTTATGGTGTTTTTATGAGGTTTTTGTGGTTTGTTGCTTAGAACTATGCCTTCAACATTGAAGCTTATTCTATTTTAGGTGGATGGGGATTGAGGAGATGAAAGTGTAAATTTTTGGGGTGTGCAAATCGGAGTACCTGCTGGGTACCCGCAACATCCGGGTTGGTGATTTCTCGGCCCGTGTCCCGACCCGGATGTTGTGTTTTTTTTTTCATTTTCAAATTATTAATTTTAAAAAAATACATAAATTTAAATGTTCGAAACTTCGAACTACATACTTCAACATCTGAACATAAAATTTAAAAAGTTCGAAATACAAAATCTAATAATCCATAATATAAACAATTCATTATATATATATATATATATATAAAATAAAAACTAACTGGGTACTCGGGTAACCGGGTATCCGAAAAAACTCAATTTTGTGACCCGGGCCCAACCTGGGAAATGTCGGGACGGGTACTCGACCCGGTCGGGTAATTTTTTTTATAGAAAATTACTCGATTTTTTTAAGTTCGGGTCGACGGGTCGGGTATTTTTGCACACCCCTAGTATATATATAGTTAATCGGATTCCAATTCAATTAAAAGAAGATTAAAATACTTTTTCAATGCACTAACCGATCAATTTTAGTGGTAAAGGAATTGTTGTTATTTATTGAGATCTCGAGTTTGAGTACTAAGAATGCTAGGGTGTGAGCGTTCAATCTCAAATAATTAAGAGTTATCTTTAAACAAATATTATTTTATACTTATACCATATTAATTAAAAAATAATTTTTACTATAAATTAATATATGGATAAACTATTCATCAGCCTTCGAAATTTAGTTTGTATCAATTTGGTAACAAAATTATAAACCATTTTTAATTTTAGGATAAACTACTCATTTAGTATTTAACTTATCAGTTTTGATATATTTTAATATTTAAACTTTCAATTGTTTTCAAAATTGTATCTAATGCTTAGTTTTTGTTTCATTTTAGTACCCATCATTAAAAACTTAATACATTTAGTATCTAAATTATCAATTTTAGTCCATTTTATTACCTAAATTTTCAAAAAATGTTTTAAAAAATTAATGTTAAACTTTGAACATACATACTAAAAAAATAAAAACTAAACTTTAGATATACTTTGAAAAAATTAAAAATTTAAATACTAAAACTAACCAAAATTAATAGTTTAAGTACTAAGCATGTACTTTATCTTTAATTCTAGTATTGAACTTTTTACATCTAACTTTTTTTTAAACAAATACTTATCATCGTTCGAATTTTCAAACAAATATTTTAAAAACCCTCTAATTTAAGAAAGTTATCAAACCTTAGAATAATAGTTTTCTTCTATACAATTTTGTGAGTTTTGGGGTAAAAATCAAACTGCTAAAAGACAATGAGATGAATTCACGGTATTAAGGGTTGTCATCAAAGATGTCGAAAAATGATATTTTACGACATCTAAAAATGGATAAAAAATCTTATATGAAAAAGATGATAAAGTAAAATATTGTTATTTTTTTACTTTCTTGCTAATATTAAATTGTTATGTCAGTCATTCGTATGTTAATAATTTAACGACCAATGATAGTTTTAAAGTTTAGTGACCAAATCGATATATGAATCAAAATTTAGTGAATAATGTGATAATTTACGCTTAATATAATTGAATGATATTAACAATTTAAAGATTGATAAAATTATTTTAAAATTGAAGTGCCGGTTTAAAATATAATCATAATTTAAAGATTAATATATAATATATTAAAATTTAAAACCGGTTAACCCTAACCCGTCTCAATGAATATTTATATTATTTCATTAACATGCTATTAGTTTTATTGATATTTTTGGAGATTCTATTAATTAAAATTGTGACCTAAAAGAATTTAATATGTTTTTGAAGTTATTAGAAATTTTTTAAAGAGTCATAAGTCTAATTTTATGACCTTGGGAAATTAATTTAAATATTTAATTAGTAGAATCAATGACATGTTAACAAAAAGAGAGAAATGAAATAATATTGATAAAAAATGGCGTTATTGATTTTGTTATTATTTAAATAATAAAATCGGTAAATTTTTTTACCTAAAACCTTATTATTTCTACATAAAACATCAATGTTTTTAACATTTTCGATAAAGTGACCAACAATAATAAAATCGGTAGAAAAAATAACAAAATCGATAGCGCTTTATCGGATATATTACCAAGCTCGGTAAAACGGCCAATAATAACAAAACCTGTAGCGTTTTTTTTAACTGTATGTTAAGACGGCCGTACGTGATCATTTCCCATTACAATTATCTCGAAAAATAGGTAAATGAAAAAAATTATACAAGGATATTTTAGTCATTTTGATGTAATTATGGTCGTTAGGGTTTTGGTTCCTCACTTTCCACCCCCTATATAAACCCACCTTCACCTCTCTCCTTCTGCAGTTTCATATGGGATTTTCATCCGTTCCTTTTCAAAGTTTAATATTTTGTTTTCACTTAATTTCTCCACCGGTTATTTTATCTTTATTTTCTTTCCCATTCAGTTTAAGGAAGCCAATTTGCAGAGCAAAGGCGTCAAATCTATTTGTAAAATGGCGTGATTTGCATTGAAGGTTGGCGACAACATTAAGCGATTCTCCGT